TGTCAAATCAGAGTCCAAGGCTATTTCAGCAATTGGAACGTCAATCACTTCAGAGAATAGATTACAGTTAATGACCTGTTTTGCGTATGATGTAAACCACAGAGGAAACTGTTAATGTCTAAAATACAAGCCAGATCCATTTTCTTCCACACTAGTGGAACTGTTAATCCCACATTTTACATGTCTGAACTTAACATAAATAATTCAGTAGTTTAAACTCTGCTACTGGGCATACTGGTCACCAGCAGATTATGCCAAGTAACTGATATTAGCAGTTTGGAAACATTTAATAACCGTGATCAGTTTTTCCTGTCACACTTAACTGCATAATACAGTGAACAAACAAACAGAAAACAGGACTCTTAACCCTTGTACTTCAACAAGGGTGATCAGCTGGCCTGGATGACAGCAAAACATGGAAGCTCACAAAAATACAAACAATTCAAGGTCTCATTTATGCAGCTTCCAAGTGGATAGGTGTGAAATACTTACTGGTTTACTTGGGTATACGTCTGACAGATGTGCTTTGAGTTTCTCCACTGTCCAGTTCTGGTAACAGTTGATGGTCTGGTCGTCATACTTCTGGTTGGGTGCCCTGATGACAAGGGTTACAGGACTGTCCATAACAGCTTGATCCATGACTCAAAATCATTTGTCTTCAAAGGGAAAACAAAAAAAAAAAAAAACGATCTAACGTTACATTGGACTGCCCTGTCTGAGTACTGTCTCCAAGGCTTCCTGGTACAATCAGAACAAAGCTTTATGTAACCTACAGTCTGTTGTTGTTCACCTAACTACAGGTGCAAGGTGTTTCCTGTAATTCTGTATATACAGCTGGAGCCTAAGGAGAGAGAGGACAAAAGGAGGTTAGTATGACCCCTAATAACACAAGTTGGCGATATTACCTATGACAACTTGGTACCCACGCAAACATACAGTGCATTTCGCCGTGTAACGTTATACAAAGCTACGTTGCAATAATATAACATTACGGACACATGTAATGACAACCACGCCGTTTTGCCATTATAAAGAGTTCGTACATACTGATTGAGAAGCAACGGCATGGATGGGATAAAATACAATTTGCTAAACCAACCCTGGTAAAGGATATTAACTAGTTAACGTCTCGCCTAAGCTAGCGTTAGCTTCAATAGGCTTTATCCTACTGATGTTAGTCAAACTGAAAAAAGTCGTTAGATACACACGGAACCAGGCAAATTAAATCTAGTTTTACAAAGATATTCGCCTCAAACTGAGTCGTGCCAAACTTGGTTTACCTACCTTGTTTACCCACAGTGACCGACCAAATTAGCTAACGTTACTTCTAAAACTCCTGATTGAACCTGTTCTTCTTCGTGAGATCCCTGGAGATAGTCGACATCTACTGTCGTAGTTTGTTACTGCCGCCTGCTGGGTAAAAGTATTGGTTACAACAGATGTGATTTTAAAATGTCAGCTTGGGCAATAAAACGCATGTTATGTATGTGTACATGTACACAGTATATTAGAAAAAATAGACACCTGATTTATATACATTGGGTGAACAAAGTAATGTACATCCATTGTCAGTATGAAACAGCACCACAGACTGCAGCTGAGCTAAAATGGAAAGAACACTCATCTAAAAAAATGTATATCGTAACCTTTTAAGAAAGAAATGTTTAATGCAAGGCTGTAAGTAAGCATCATATATTGAAGTACATTAACAGCAAGTGACCTGCATAAAAAAAGCATAACTTAACCTGGTACATCAATCTTTCATTCTGTTCACTCTGCTCTGAAAATGGGTTAGCCTATGTCTACTCGATTCATACAACGCATTAGACCTTGCAGGTTCTTGTATAGCACAATAGTTCCAGGCTACTATGAGAACATGACACAATTAATCTGAACAGCAAAGCAGAGGACACAGCATTTAAATTTTGAAAAAGATGGGCTTTTTATGTACCCCAAAATAAGGAGATTCATTGATTAATTATGTGTGTCTGAACCTAATGTCAAATCAAATGCCTGAAGTCTACCTACAACTTAAATCTACACACGTGAATGAAGAAAACAAAAGACCATTATCTAACTAATTCCACTGTTGGTGGTGGCTTAGGGCTTGAGGCCTTCATAATCCTGTTTTAATGTTTTTGTTATGCTGCTGCTTCTGTGCTACATCACAGCCTATCAGTATTTTTAGGTGATACCAGAGTATAGGCCTTTTTTTTTAATTGTCTCATGGGAAGCTACTTTGTCTGCAGCTTCTTATATTTTCTTTGTTTTGGTTTATTTTTATGCAGTTCATATTCCCTGTCCACATCCCTGAGACCAGCCATGTAGTTTTTGTCTTGCGTGGGGGAACGCAGAGTTCTTTTTACCCCAAACAGAAATTGCAGCAGTAAGGTAGGTAAACGGCCATCAACACTTTATCAAAGTTGTTTGTTTTTTTTTAGTGTTTTGTCAGTGATTTTTGTAATGAAGGGATATTGAATTGAAACTGGTAGCTGAATGTGTAACATGTACTTTTGAAAAACAATATAACAATACCACCAGGCAGAAAGTTCTGGGCTGTCACCTAGTTAACAATTTAACAAGAACTCTCAAATGTCCATTCACTTATTAATAATTTGCTTCTGTTTTCTCCTGTTTTGACAATTTGTGTTCATTAATAGCTATAGCGGTTACATGCGCCAGTGTTTGTGCTTATTGTTGTTGCGGTCTGCACTGGTATGAGTGACCCTGGCTAGTAGTGAGGTGCGCTGTGATGACTCTGTGGCCCTTGTGGAGCTGTTATGGGTGTTTCGTTATAATTTATGTATGAATTATTTTGTGATACTTCTTGGCTTACATAATGTCAGTAATTGTAATAGAAGCAATGAGGAAACATTGGTGTTGGTGCAGAGAATGAAAAGGATAAGGCAGCTTAAATGAAGGATGGGTGGATTTCTGGAACCAGAGCTGCTGTGCTGGCCTTGGTAATAACTCCTCTCAAATATGGTTTGGCATTTTTGGAATACATTCTCTTAAAACATACTATTTGAACTCCTGTCTTCCAAGTAAATGCTGAATCATGCCCCACTGAATGGCTGTTTGCTCATTGTTCATGAATTACAGAACCACATAAGGACTTCCTGCAATAAAAAATACCTCTCATCAGGAGGGTGATGTGCCATCCTCATGACGTCCATCGTGTTTGTCTCACTATGTTAACACCTTTGACCGATCGCTCTCTTTCAGAGGATGTACAGTAGTGGTCCACTTCTCCTTTAATGGCACTGCATTAGAGATGTCCAATTTCTTTCATTTCCGTGTGTGTGTGTGTGTGTGTGTCCCTCTATTACTCTGTTTCACAAAGAACTGGCTAATACTATAATTTGGGACACCTCCAACCTTCTGCCACTGTTTGAGATTTTAAAAGTGGAGTGGTTTGAAATTAGGTCAGCATTAACCTAAATTCTGATGTAATATTCCATCTTTTAAAATAGCTAATAAACAGGCACCATTTGCGACAGTGGTTTGTAATCAGACGTTTTTAGGGTGTGTGTTTTTTAAGGATGCTCCTGTTCCTCGTTGGTTGTCAGTGATACTGTTGACTCCCTTTGTTCAGCAGGTTTTTGCTGCAGCAGCACTGCCCTTATTACATTTTAACAAAACAAAGTGGGCTGGGTTGCAAGCAAAGTACATCAGTAAGATTTGCTTCTGTGCTTGTATTAGGAAGGAATGTGAAAGAACATTACTGATCAGGGATTGTTACAGGCAGGGCACACTGTGGACAGGTCGTCGGTCTCTCACAGGGCTGACACAGACGCACAACCATTCATGCTCATATTCACACCTATGAGTAATTTAGAGGAAGTGGCCTGGATGTTTGTGAACTGTGGGAGGAAATCCGCCCAGACCTCACAGTACTGATGGTTTCATTTTAACCCTTCTATTTAAGATTCAGAATAAATTTTTATATACAGTATATACACACCAACTACAATGCAATTGGAAGCTCATACAAGCATAGTTAGGCTTTAATACATGAGTCCACAAGCTTGCCTTTTCTGAATATTTGCTCTCAAAGTATGTATGCTATTTACATTCATCCAGGAACCACTATAAAATGTCAGAGCACCCTAACTGCCATGCATTAGTGACCCATTGCAACTGCCTCAGACATTACAAAATGTTGTGCAGTTTATATACATTTATTTTATTGCATTTACTGTTTATTAATTAGGTACATATTTTGTTTTAGGGATTATTTACATATTCCATTGTACTACTTTGCTCTCCTTTATAAATGAGCAAACCTCACCCACTGAAGCTAAGAGCTGCACATAAAATCTAGTATGTGGAAGTTTAGAAATGAGTTTTAAATGAAAAAGTGTAATAAATGATAAGTAATGATTCCTTCCACTAAAGCAATCGGTGTCTGTCTGATCTTGGATAATAAAAAAAGCAGAGTGGAGATTGTTTTTACACATTTTATTGGTCTAGCCCAGAGACGAATCCTTCTATTGTTTTGTTGCATTTCTCATTTGTAAAATGTCAGCAGGCTCTCCAAACCCTCAGAGCTTCTTGTGCCCTGTCCTGGTGCAGAAAGCTGCCACTTTACCGAGGTTAAGCCATATGTCATGTTGCTCTTTTAAAGGAGTTGTCCTTCTACAAAGAGGAAAATGCAATATAATAATTTTGCATGGGCCCTGTAAAGAAAAAGGCAAAAGTCAGAGGAAATACATTTCACCTTAAACATATGACTAGCATGCTTGCACTTGGAAGTGTCGATACTACACAGATGGGCTGAGCAATGCATAGAATAGTCCAAGTCTTATCAGTGATGCGGTTGTATGAAAGCACGAAGCCTGAGGTTTCATACAGTGTTGTCGTTTTTGCTGCTGGAATGTTTGCTCCCTGACATTTTATAGTCGAGGCAAACATGAAGCTGCTGTTTACTTAACAATGCTTTGAGTGTTGCTCTTCTATTGCACTGAACTGATTCAGAGGCTTTGTGCCCCCTCTGTTTATAATGAGTGCCTACATTAGTCGGTCACTAGTGTAAAAAGGTCACTGACTGGAGGAGGTTTTATTTAAGCAGTAAGAAGAAGACCTTTTGATTTGAGGTCATTTGAGGTCATCCAGTTTGCTTCACTCTCCCATCCTTTCGTCTGTCCAACACGTGGGTGTGAACTACCTTTTAAATTACTTTGAAGCAGTATCTACGTCCTAATATTAGAAAATTAAATGGATGCTGGTAGAAGCTGAACTTCTGACCTATTTCTAAAATCCTGCCTACGGCCCTGCTGAGGACATCATGGTAACATCTGATGAAGTAGCTATAGCAATTACTGTTGAGCACAAAATAACACACTTGTTAAAAATGTAAATAATGTTCTTATTAAAATACATTGTAGTATTGTACCTGGCTCTGGTTTCAACTGCATTCAGCTTAAGCCATAAAAGATTAAACAAGCAAACAAACTTAAGCAGAAGCTTTGGTCTAATTTACAAGCTGCAGTGCCAAATATCCATCATCATTTGACAGATTATGTGTTTCTACTGACGGTGCACTCAGGGAAACCTCCTTGTATGTCACTTTTATATGAGTTCAACTGATGTCAGGGTCTTTCTGTTGATGTTTTTGTACAAAGCTTGCCTGTAGCGGTGTTTTAAAAGAGCATCTTGCTTGCAGCGATGCCATTAGGATGTTGCTGTGTGTGCAAAGACTGGTGCTAGTCATAGAAGCTGAAGTGTAAATTTTGCTCATTTATCTGCTGACAACCTTGTGTCAAACTAAGTGATTGCTCAGGATATTCAGTGGAAATGTAATGATAACACAATGACAAAGCTTTTGGATGCAATTTGACTGTGTTATTGTTTTCCTGACATTTGCCCTATCATTTGAAATATCATTAGTCATAGCAAAGAAAAGAAAGCATTTGCCTTTTGGTCAAAGCTGTCTGTTTGTTTTCATCTGTATTGTGCTGAATAGAGCCCCCATGCCCCCTCTGTAATTCATTATTGGTGCCTACAATAAGTGACTCACTGGTGTTTTTAAAAAATCATAGCCTGGGGAGGTGGAGGCTTTAACTGTAACTCCAGTGTTTGACTGTGATTCGGGTAAAGTTTAACAGTTATGCCATAATAATTAGTAGAGCTTCTTCACCGTTTGGGACATTAACACTATCCTAAATGACTCGGTCTCATTTAATGTTGTTTTTATTGGGTCCACCAAGGTAAAATTAATTCAGCCTCATCAGGTTTTATTGAAACTGTTTTAGGGAGGTGTTAAAACGGTATTGTCATTTTGGAGACTAGTTTGTGCTGTTATACAGTGTTTCTGTTATTTAGCCTAGCCTTATTGGCATAAAATGAGGTTGGCAAAATAATAAACACCTCTCAGTACATTGCAAAAGAA